CAAATTAACATTTACCTTAAGTAGATAAAAATAAATGCTGTAAAAACTGTTCTTCATTGTTAGTTCATAATATCTAATTAATTAACCAAGGTTAATAAATTAGATGTTAAGTAAAAGTATTGCCCACAATGCACTGTGCATGGTCTGCCACTGCGCTGTGCTGATGTCCCCTGTGTGTGTGTGTGTGTGTGTGTGAGATTGAGTAACTGCAAATAAATAATCTCAAAGAAAGCCAGCAGTCTATCAAAAATGTACCTTCCTTCAAGCCTGGATACAAAACAAATGGATCACCTACTAGACAAAGAGATACTGTACGCAAGATTGTTTTTATGTTTGCAGTTGGTTTGTTATGATGGCTCTGTTGGCCTGTTGCATGATGGGAGGACGCAGCACGCTTGATTTGCATGGCCCAGTGCTGACAGCAGCAGCAGCTCTACGTACGCCCCCTTCTGTCCAACATGGAGAAGCCATCTCTCTAACTTTCTTTACTTTAAATGGCAAAGACGCAGAACATCACTCACAATTTTCTCTTTCTTTATTCTCTCTCCTTCCCTTCTCTGTGTCTGTATTTCTTTTCCTAATTCACATTGTCTGTTTTCTGTCTTGGATTTACATTTTCTTGGCATCCACATCTGACGGATGGACTCGACTCAACACTTTTTCATCATGTCTGCAATTGATTTTTCATTTCATTTTTACTTTACATTAATGTTGGAACCACCACAACGGTCACGTCACCACATCCTGTGCATGTCGCCCCATTCTGTTTGCCCCTGCCACCACTCCCTCGTCACTGTCCCTCCGTCCCTGCCCCTCTCTGCAGCATTGGGACCAGGGAGGGGGTAACTCAGAAGAACCTGAGCGGCTTATTGCCCATACGTGACTTCAGGCTGGACCCCAGTCTGCTCTACTCTCTGCCCCTTCTGGCCCTGAGCCCAAACCTGCTCATCGTCTGGGTGTTCCTCAGCATAGCCTACCTGCTGGCCAAACTCCGCTGCAGCTGAGCCTGAGACCCCCTTTTTCCATTTTTCTTTCTCTCTCTCCCTCGCTTTGGCTGTCTCAGCACTTCCTTTCTCTATTTTTCTGTTTCTTCCTCTTCTGGATGAGGAGCTATGTGCAGACAATGCTGAATTCTTTCTGGTTGATTCAGCTCTTCTCTCTAACAGCCATTCTAAAGGTCTTGGTGTTCATTTCTGCCTTCCCTCTCTCTCTCTCT